TAGCACCCTTTGATGTGACCACTGAGAAGGAGCAGATTTGAAAATCTAAAGGGATTTCATCACTTAGTTGTAGGATCAAAGTGGGAACCACAATCAAGATGAGAGGAGACTCCTGTACACTTATGAGGATTATTATGATGAAGCTTTTTCAAAAGTGAATGAAGATTATATCTATGTCTATTAAAGTGATATGATTCACATTTTTCCCAAGCAGAGAAAAGAAAGGAAGAATACATGTGAGGATATGAAAGTTGAGAAAAATAACACCATTTTCAGTGTGCACTAAGACAAATCTTAGAAGGGAAAATAAATGAATTTCAAATACAGCTGTGCACAATCTTGTTCAGCTGTATGGGGGAAATTAGGAAAGATTTCAAGGTCAATGGGCAAACTCTGCTCTCTACCTCAGCTAGTATAATTGAAGAAGATCAATAACTACTCAATACAAATGTCTAAGCAGGGCAATCCTTGGTTGTGTGTGAAATGCTTGGTCTGTGAGATTACCGAGACAAGTGCTTGAGAAAATGCAGCATTAATTTTCAAAACTTACTGTTTCCAACATGGTATTGGCTGATCCCTCATCATCACCTGCCACAATCACATCCTCTGTCCTCCTATTTCTGCACACCTCCATCAAGAAGGCCACTGACAAGCGGTGTCCCCCTTCCTCTGCACAGGACTTGAGTTTTACCCCCAAAAGTTTCTTTGGAATCACACCCATATTTATTTACAATATCAGAAAGGTGCACAGTGCATTTAAACTCAAAAGTAAAGTATATCTAGAGATAGGTATAGATATATCTCACTAAATCACGAGACTAAAAATTGCCTTATAAATTAAGACCTATTGAATGTGGACCATAAGAGAAAATACTGAAAAAGAAAACCATACTAAAATTAAAAACTTGTGCTCATATATTAAATGTCATAAGATTCATAAAAAAGAGACAGACAGTCTTAAATAATAAATTGGGAATCCAGATTTTATAGTACAGTACTGTAAACTCAACATTCAGAGATGCTGATTCAGGAGACTTATGATTAGGAGAAAAGAATGGGCAATTTAACAACAGAATAAGCCACTTCTGAAAATTTAAAAAAAGAGAGAGAGAGAAACGTAGGCACGGTCTTGCAATTCAGTTCAAATGCCCTCATTTTAATGCCAATGTCATAAAAAAGAGAGACAACAAATTTATTTGCATAATACAAATGCAAAGAGTTGCTATTCCAAATGCATAATTATCATTTACAAACAAAAATATGAACATTTGGATAAATACAAGATGAACACATATTTCTCCACACAGGAAATTAAAAGACCCACCTGAGGTATGTATTTATTTAAGTGAGGTATGACAAGGATATGTATTTATTAGAAAAGTTCAGTCTGTTATGTGTTTGAGATATATGAAGTAGAGGTGAACAGAAGCAATCAAAATAAATAAATGCACTACACCTGACTCAGAGGTCAGGAGCAACAACCCTGTGTTCCTCTGTGCCTACATTGACTTTAAAGACATGCACCCCTGGGTCAGAAACAGCAGTAACATTTCTGTTCTAATGAGGAGCACTGAATATTGTATCCCCCTCTGGGATATAGAGACCATAGAAGTCAGCCAGGGAAACACCCACTCAAACGCCCTGCCCAGTCAGTAACAGCTGCTGGTCCATTCAGATATGGTCCTTCTTCATAAAGAACACATTGGCTCAGTAGAAGATTCTGTCCTTTCTGAGACCAGATCGTCTGTCTTCCACATCCAGGTGAGATGCTGAACATCATTCTCACTGAAGCAGCCAGGCAACCCTAAGTTCCTTTTTCATGATTTGATCATGACTGTTTCTCCCAGGGGCAGCTGTGGGGACTGTATAAGTACAAGATGGTGAGAAACAGGTCCCCATGAGCCTGATTTCATTTACATTTTTATGGAGATTCATCCAGCTCTTGTTCTGCAGGACACCTGCTGTCTCTTCAAAGCCAGGAGATGATTCAGTGTTAGGGAAGAAATCTAAATCTGTGGCTCTTCCAGAAAGATAACTCTCATAAAATATTATGCCATTTACTCATTCTTTTGGTATTTATGGGGATAATTTACCTCAGTGTCTAGGCTTTCTGTAGGTGTAATAACAATGCACACATAATGGGCTAATTAATAAATAAATTTCAATTTCTCACAGTTTTGGAGGTTAGAGACTGATGGATTAAGGTCTGGTTTCCTCCAGAGGTCTCTATTTTTAGTTGGTCTCATTTCAGTATCATCTCATTATCCTCTTCTCATTGTCTGTTTTCTAATTTCTTTGTAAGCACCTCTGAATAAAACCTTAGGCCTCAATCTAAAGACTACTTTTTGAGTGAGTTACCTTATTAAGTAACCTTCTCAAAATGCAGTTACAGTATGAAATATTGAGGCGGGCTTACATTTCACTCAATAAATTTTGAAATCATTGAATTCAGCATATAAATATTAGTTTCACTCTTATATGCATTTTGGCTTATTCAGCCAGGACTATATAGAAAGTTTGTCCTAGTATCTTGGAAAAAGGGGCTTTGAAATTTCTGAAAAGAAGTCTCACCAGTATCTTCTCTATGTCCTGCTCTAATATATGCTTTCCAGTTATAGTAATCACGTTAATGGGTAGAAGTAGCCATATCTAAAATATGAAGGAGACAATCAGGCCTATAATAAGAAAGAAACTTTTAAGGCATTAAAGGTTATCATGAGACACTTTGGATCATTTGAAAATGTTAATTATGCCCTACTCTGATGCATTAGCAGAGCTTTTTCAAGACGTCGACATCAGTGGTCAGACCATCATATCTCTCATTTTTTTTTAAACATGGACAGTGTGGTTTGTGTCCATGAAGTTTCCCTTCAGGAATGTGGAGCCAGGAGCTAGCCTGTTTCTCTCACAGTTTGACAAGTTCCACAGGTATTTTTCATACCAACACTGGAAACCATTACTGTAGAAATAAGTTAGCTGACCTTGTGTTGAGCTCCATTTACTAGAAGGTTGAGGTTCAGCTTTAGATTGTTTATTTGAGTTTGCTTTATTTTCCTGGTGTGGGCATTCACTGCTATAAATTTCCCTCACAGAACTTTTTTTTCACTGTTCACATAGATTCCCCTATGTTGCATTTTCATTATCATTTAATTGTAGAAACTGAGTAATTTCTTCAGTAATTTCCTCTTTAAACCATTGGTTGTTCAGGAGAGTGTTATTCAATTTCCATGTATTTGTGAAGCTCTAACAGTTTTTTATGCTATTGCTCTCCGATTTATTTGCACTATGGTCTAAAAATATTCAGGGTAACTTAAATACCTTTGCATTTACTTAAACATGATCTGTGATCTAGTATGTGGTCTATTTTGGAAAATGACTCAAGTGAAGCTGAAAAAATGTGTATTCTGCTTTTTGGGGTGGAATATTGATAGGCATCTATCAAGTCCATTTGTACAAAAGTTTGGTTTCTTTTAAGTGTTTTGTTGTTGATTTTCTGTCTAGATGATCTGTCTATTTGTAACAATGTGTTTGTGATGTCCCCCCTACTATTGTATTAGTGCTTATTTGCTTTAGCCAGTTCATTAATGTTGGTTTCATATAATTAAGTGCAGTAGTATTTGCTGCATATATATTTATGATTATCATTTCCCCATCTTAAATTATTCCCTTTATAAGGATGAGGTGGACTTCTTTGTCCCTTATCTAGGTTTGGTTTGAAATCTACTTTGTCTGCAAGTAAGATGGCTACCTCTTTTTTTTTCTGGGTTTCTGTCACATGGAGAACTGTTTTTCATCCTTTTACTTTCAGTCTATGAATTTATTTTTGAATTACATGTTTTTCATGTAAAGAGAATATTTTTAGATGTTGCTTCTTAATCCATTTGACCAGTCTCTTTCTTTTGATTGGTAAATTGAGGCCATTAGTATTGATGGTTATAACCAACGTGTATTGACTTATCATTTTCATGATATTTTCCAATTGTTGAAACTTTTACTCTTTTATTTCCCTCCTTTTCCATGAATTTATTTTCCTTGTCTGATTGCTGCACTCTCCTGAGCCTCATTGAGTTGTGACCCTTATTGCTTTTCTCTAGGGTATTGTTTAGAATTGTTTGAAATGGTTTGATATTAATGAAGTTTCTCGGGTGTTTTTATCGCTTATTGTATCTTATTTCCCCATCCATTTTGAAAGATAGATCAATCTAGGTGGGAGGTTGTTTTCTTTCAGGGCTTCAGATAATTCACTACAGACTGTCCTTTATTTTAGGGTCTGTGTTGAAATATCTGCTGTGATCCTGAAGGGATATCCTTTGTATGCAATTTGTTTCATTTCTCTAAATTCATGTAGTACTTTGTTCTTCGTTGGGTTTCTGGTATCTTGGTTATTGTAAATCTAGGTGTAGATTCTCTTTGATCATAGCTCATTGGAGCCCTATATGCCTCAGTTATCTGTATATGATATTATTTTTCTCTACTCACTTTGCTTTAATAATGAGGGCATAGAATATATTTGAAGCAATGTAAATGTCTTGTTTTCTGTAAGTGTGTCAATTTTTTTCATTAAAGTGTGAAGAATAGTTGGTGTTAAATTAATACAACAGAAATTGGAGTAGACCTGAGACAAGACATAAGCAATGAGAATATGAGCAAGTTGAGTATGAGCCTGACATAGTTGAAAAATATTTCTTTCTTTTTTCTTTTTTGGTGCCAGGGGTTGAACTCAGGTCCTCATGCTTGGAAGGCAGGCCACCAAACTGCTGAGTTAAATCCCTGGCCCTGAACAATATTTCTTTCTTAAAGCAATGATTGTCAAAATTGAGAGGTATTTAATAGATCATGAATCATAAAGCATAGTTTAGTAATTCTCATTTCCAGCCTTTTCAAAAGTGACTTCTACAAAAAAAAATGTTATGACTACTATATTTCCAGAAGAGTCTTCTGCTCCTTGTATATAATCCACTTTTTCACATAATTTTAACCTTATCACCTCCATTAGATCCATGGAGAATATGCAATCCAAAAATCAAACCCCATTCTCAGAATTCCTTCTGCTGGGACTGACGGATGATCCAGAGCTTCAGACCCTCATCTTCAGTGTGTTCCTGTCCATTTACCTGGTCACTATCCTGGGAAACCTGCTCATCATCCTGGCTGTGAACACTGACTCCCATCTCCACACCCCCATGTACTTTTTCCTCTCTAGCCTGTCCTTCACTGACATCTGCATAAGCACCACCACCATCCCAAAGATGCTGGTTAACATCCAAACACAGACTAAGAGTATCTCTTACGAAGCCTGCTTCACACAGGTTAGTTTTGTCTTAATTTTTGTATACCTGGAAAATTTTCTCCTTGCAGTGATGGCCTATGACCGCTATGTGGCCATTTGTCATCCACTGAGATACACAGTCATTATGAGTCCCCACCTCTGTGTCCTGCTAGTTTTTATCTCTTTGTTGGTTAGCACTGGGGATGCCGAGATCCACAGTTTGATGGCTCTACGGCTGTTCTTCTGCACAGACCAGGAAATTCCTCACTTCTGTGAACTTGCTCAGGTCATCAAGCTTGCCTGTTCTGATGTTCTCATTAATAACATCCTGATCTATGTTTCAATTTGCATAGTTGGTGCTATTACTCTTGGAGGAATTATTTTCTCTTATATCCACATCGTGCCATCTGTTTTAGGAATGCCATCACAGGGAGTAAAGTATAAAGCCTTTCACACCTGTGGGTCTCACCTATCTGTTGTGTCCTTGTTCTATGGGACAGGATTTGGTGTATACATCAGTGGTGCAGTTACTGATTCAAGCAGGAAGGCTGCAGTGGCTTCAGTGATGTATTCTGTGGTGCCTCAAATGCTGAACCCCTTTATCTACAGCCTGAGGAACAGAGAAATGAAGGAAGACCTGATGAAACTCACTGGTAGAATATTCTCTTTTCTTTGTTATTTCATTAGCTTTGGATCTGCAGGACTAAAGCAATTCACAATGACTGAATTCTTCATGAAAGAAAATTCCTGGCTCTGCCACTGCCATATTCCAAAATGATGAGATTACATAAGAACTACATTTCTTTTATTTTGTGCTTGTTGCCTGACCTTTTTTTTTTCTAGATCTGTGATGAATGAGCAAATAGTTTTATGTACAAACTTTTATGCAATCAGCTGTGTTATTTTTAATTTTTGTATTATGGCATGTATTTGAAATAAATTGCGATGGGTTCTAGAGAGCAATATAAAAATGCCATCTTGTCTTATCTTGCTTAGAGATACCATAGCATCATTCTATTTAAGAAATATATGTTGAAAGAGTTAGCATGAAGCTAAATATCTTGACATTTCATTAAAGATTGAATTCATTAAACATAAAGATTTTGTTTAAGCACTAATGTGTAATATGGTCTTCAATTATTTACTGTAGCTGATGTTTCACTACATCAATTGAGATCACTGTAAGCCAGCATGCTACTATTGACAATGACATTGCAATTTCTTATTATTCTATAAGAAAATGAAGAGTCACAAATTTATCCCACCATCCCCTCATGTGAAATAAAATAGTATGTGGGACAAATTTTGTGAATTTGGACAAGGTAGTTGTGAAATCACAAAATATTAACCCATTCATCTTCATTTATTACATAATTAAGTAAAGATGTGAAATAAAATCTGCTGAACTAAATGTTCAGAATGAATATAAAGACTCAGGAAACATTCTGTGATATTTTGTATACCTACATGTAAAGCCTTAGCTTTCACATCAAATACTAGAATCAGGCTTCAGAAACATCATTGTGCTTATCTGTATAATAAGCCAGGAATTAAGATAGAGAACAGTGGTACCTGAACATTTGAGTATGGTGTATGAAATGTATATAAGCACAAATTATTGGGATGAATTGCGTGAGTAACTTGGCTTCGCAGTTAAGGGATTTGGCCATCTGGAATTTTATCTTTCTAGATAGTTAGTCTTTAAACCTTTTTAATGTACTCTGAACTTGATGAGAAAATAGTGTTTGGTTAATGAGTCTCCAGGGATACAGGAAGTACAAATATGCTGTATGTGACCACCTCCCTCTGTAGTCCTCTCTGGCTGGGAAGCCACACCTGAGGATTCCCTCAGAGTTTATCTCTTTGGCCAAGGGCATGGTGCCTGGCTCCCCAGAGCCCTTCCTGAGAACGCACCTTCTGCATAGCCAAAAATCAGGGGAGTTGACAAGCTTCTTTTCACACTTTTGCCAGTTAGGTAACCCAAAGCCCTTGGGGTACTTTTTAGAAACATGGCAGGAATTTATTACAATTTTGTCCGTGTAAAACACATGAGCAAAAATCATGTAAAAAATAATCATTATCGAGTTATCCCTATGGTTTTTGTCTGTCTTCACTACTATATATTATGTTGCATCTTTGTAAAATTACTCAATGCAGGTCTCATTCTGCAGGACTTCTCCTTTCTCAGCAGCAAATATAAATTCTCAATATAAATTATCCTCACACAAGAAGAGCATGATTAAATTCTCAGGTATTTTATTGCACCCTCACTGTGGTGGAGGGGAGACATAAAAGTTTTTGATCACTTTCACCATATCTTTTTGTAACTTGTGCAGCCACACTCAAGTTGATGATTTTTGGTGTCATCTCTCTTTATGGTAAGTAGGTCCCTGGGAAAAGAAGTGTAGACTCAAGACATACTAAGCAGGTGTGGAGATTTAGTTAACAAACTATGCCATTCTACCCAGGATCTATGAGGTGACTTAAGGTGCCTGGACACTTGGCAGACCTAGTGAAGAGGAAGCATACTTTCTCTTCCTGTATCTCGATGTTCTGCCAGAATTTATCTTAGAATAAGGAAGTGGCTCTTGTGACTAGCTGTCTCCTAATATGTTTACATATAAGGGCTTTGTTTTTCGCCTTCATAAGCATTATATTGATTCTTAGAATGGTTGAAAACAAACATTATCTCAACAGCTTGAAGTCTGCAAAGAGGCAATGTCATGATGTAATGATTAATATATCCTGTTTCTAATTCTCTACAAAAGACTAACTCTGGTAAATATAAAGCATGCAGTTGTTTATCCTTCTCTGCATCCCCTGTGTCCTGGTTATTGCTACACCCTTACCAAGGGCCCCCAAAGCACTAAGTGTTGACAAGCAGGTACATACTGCAATGGCCTGTTGTATTTCATAAAATAACAGAATACTTAAAATTGTAACATCAGAATGAATATTGTAATAATAATTTTACATAATTATAAAATGCCATTATTTAGGCTTTTTCAAAATTGACAAATGTTGGGCCAGGGATTTTGCTCAGTGATTCTGCTGCCTGCTTCATAAGCACAAGGACTTGAGTCTGAACCTTGGTATGAAAAAACAAAAAATTTCAATGTTAACAAATGTTGATGTTCTGCTGTATCAACTTTTTGTCTTTATTAACTATACCGAATGGACCCACTGGTATTATTCTATACCTCTCTTCTTTGCTAGAAGTAATTGTCAATCAAGCATATTTTAATATTTTATATGTTTCTCCACAATGAATGTAATTGTTATATGTCACAAACATGAAGTAACATAATACATTCATAGTAATAGTAATAATAATAAAAATAATGTGGAAGAAGATCTAGAGACAGAGGAAAAGAGAACAGTGGAGAGGCAAGAGGGAATAAAAACATTCAAGATATATTAATGTACCTCATCCCTTAGATGATCACAGACATCCTGTGAGTATTGATGAAAAAAAATTAACCAACAACAATAATGTTATGTAAGAAAGCAAATCGCAAAATTAAAGTGCCGCATAACATTCTCAATATAGAAATTTTAACAGTTTAGGGATGAAATTTCTGCTTGAAGAATAATAGGCAAAACCAACAGCCAACATAATACTAAGACACTGAGTAGACGGATCCGTTATTGAAGTTTTCATTTTTCTAACTGAAGATGTTTCATTTTTCTTTCATTTGCTACGTTTTTATTCCACTCATCCTGTCCATTCTACAATGAACACTGCCAGGTCTTCTGTTCTTGTCCCTGGTAGAAAAAATGTAAATAAAGATTCTTCAGTGGTCAGGGCCCAGGTCTACACCCCATTCTTCAACAGCTGGGGCTGCCTGCCTGTGAACAAGAGGAAGGGTCAGACCAGGTAGAGAGCAAGAAGACCATAGTTCTGAGCTCAGGAAGATGACAGAGTGATGAGTGGCAGACAGAGGCCCTCTCCAATGCTTGTGGCATACAACTGAAGCCCACTGGGAGAGCGGATAGGCTCTGTAATAAAGATCCAGAATACTACAGTGGTTGGTGAGTGGGTGAGATCAGCCCCTCTTATCTGAATCCTGAATTGCTGGGGGAGAGGGGCAGTTTGAACCTCAGCAGTACCCTGCAGAGTTCAAATTTGCAGCAGGTCAGAGAGCTCAATTCTGACCTCAGAGACAGAAACTAGTCTGAATCTCAGTAGACTGTAGCTGGCTGGCCAAGAATAACTGACCTAGACCTTCATCACCCACATTATCTACCAGTGACAACAGAGACATGCCTTGAAGAAAACTATTTGTCTTTTACTTTTCTTCCTTGTCCTGTCTTTTCTTTTATCCTCCTTTCTTCCTCTACTTCAGTTCTCTCCATTTTATGCCTGTTTTTCCTTTTCATTTTTTCTTTCGTGTTCTTATTTCTATAACAGCATGAATATGGTTTCTAGTACTCCTGTTAGGATTAGTTTGTTTTCTTCTTACTTTTCTTCCTTAATTCTCTTTTCCTGCTATCTTCAACATTTTATCAAAGTTTATTTGATCTTCCTGTGTCCTGTAGCTCTAATTCTCAACTCTCCATCTCCTATTTCTCTATCCCCAACTCATTCAAAATCTTCTTCCTGGAAGGTATATTCACTATGCCAAAGGGTTTATTTCCTATATAATTCAGATTGGCCCTAGAATTTGATATATAATTCCAAGTCAAGTTCATGTAGTAGAGGATAAATCATAAATAGCTAGCAACATTTTTCATTTTCTAAGCTGTCTTTGAGGCTGTTGTCAATGGTGAATGGATTACTTTGGCCAAGGTGTTGTGACTACCCAAGTCAGCTGTTCTTCTTGATATACTAAAACTGAGACTGTTTAAGGGTCATTACAGATTGAAAACCCTAAAATCAGCTATACCTGGAAGCCACTTTTCAGACAGAAATATTCCATATGGGTGCTAAATACTGGAATAAAGATGCTTACAATAAAAATAAATATACATGTACCAAGCCATGAATAAATTGAAAAAAAAACATAACAAAAATAGCAACAACAAATTAAATGATAAGAAACCTAAACAAGATGCAAACCAAAACTTCCAGATGACCCAAATGAAATCCAGAGGGCACAGAGATGGAACAAAAGTCAATCATATAGGCTTCCTGCAGCGTTAAGAAGGATGACAAAGATAGAGCTTCTGGAAAAACTGAAATCAGAAATAATTTTTTAGATAATGAGAGAGATGGTGACCAAGATGAAAGAAATGGTTAAAAGCTCTAGAGAGGACACAGTTAAAAAAATAAGAGTCGAGGAAAATGGTAGAATCCTTGAATATCCAACATAGGAAAGAATTGGAAGACATAAAACTCATCAAAGCAGATGTCCAAAAAATTAACAATTCCATTGAATGTTTCCACAGTAGAACACATGAATGTTGGAACAGAATTTCATAGATAGAAGAAAGGATGGTGGTTAGCCAACATGAATAGAAAGATTTATTAAATGTAGTCAGGAATCATGAGAAATCAATCCAACAGTTACTGGAAGATGCAAAAAAAGAATAACTTAAGATTGATTAGAAGCAATAGAGTAG